TAACATGGAAGCAAAGCCTGTGATGAAATAAGATCCTGCCGAGAAGCAACCATGAAGCGGAAACTACAACTTTAATATGCCTCATTTTCTCATGGGAGCAGACCAAATGCAGCCTCATCAGCTGGTTGAGTCTGTTGCAGTAGCGAGTGCGACCGTTCAACGGTAAATGGGAAAACAGTGACATTATTTTGGAAAGAAGATACCCCTAACCTACAGGAAGTGTTCAAAGTGCTCTGCTATGCTACAATATTTGGCCCTCACTAAATGAAGTAGGCCTAGTTTTTTTGTCTGTGTAGCCTACATGTACATGTAGGCCCTACTTTATTCTTCATTGTCACTCTAAGTCTAATCCATGTCACATTCTCAGTTCTACATGTAAATTGTAACTGTACGACTTTTGCACACAGAAACTAAAAGAGGTGCTACATTTTATTCTGCAGATATTTGTGAAAATTATTTAATTTTAACAAGATACAGTCTGCTCCCGTTATAGCGAAAACGGCTAGAACGAAATTCCGGTTATTACAAACAAATATCTTCGGTCCCGGCAAAATTGTGCACATGTCTATGGGGAAAATTTCGCTTAAGACGAAAATGGACAGTACAAAATTCCTGTTACAGCGAAAGGTTTTGGCGACCCTGTTGCATAAAAATGCATTGTTAGCGACCCATTTATAACGAAAGGTAATCCTGGCTCACGGCTTTTTTCGTTAATTTGAAAGCAGTATTAGTCATCAGTAGGTGTCTCTTGTGTGAGTAGTTTCATGTTGCCGACAAAGAGGCATTCAGATGGAGATGCTAATCGGTTTGCCGGCGCACGGTCATTAATCTCGCGCTGCAGTTAGGCTTGTCATCATAGTTTTGCAATGACGTGTGCCAGTCACCCGCACCACTTGCACATCGCCATTGTGACATTAATCCAAGACGTACTTCGACCTTTGTGAATGGGCTTTCCCAATTTGTACCTAAAATTGAGAGCTGGTGCAGTTGAAGAAGAACCAGAAGATGAGGAGGAGCCGCCAACGGAGGAACAACGGCCAAGAAATGTCACCGACTGCCTGAGCCTAATGCACCAGGTTCGGGACTATCTCTGCAGCCAGCCTGACATGGACGATGATGTCTACGATCACGCCGCTGCAATCCTGCAGTACCTCTCCAGTAGGCAGCAAGACAAGATGTCACAGCGGAAGATAACGGACTTCTTCAAGGTGTAACATCACCTTCCAGATAAATCAAACCAAAGGGCTCTTTTCAGAGCCACCACATTTTCAAAAAAGAGATTTGAATCCCGACTCAAATAAAAATAATGAACTCCCACCTTATTACCCGGAGCAAATAAAAATAATCCCCCTCCCCAAATAGAACCCCTTATAAAAAATTGGAAATTAAATAAAACATCGTTTATCCCCTCTCCCACCGCGGCACAAATTTTATTAAAAAAATGTAAGGTTAAACAAAAATTACAAAGCACCCCATTACAAATCCAAAATAAAATAAACAATCTTAGACTATCCCAAAATTCTCCCAAACGTAATTTCATTCAAAATTATTCACGACCCCTCCGTAAATTGCTCCCCCTCCCCTCACAAAATATTTATAATCAAAACTTTGCCAAATTTGTCCAAACTTATTCATTTGAGCACCAGCACAAATACGTTAAGCTATTTTGTAACTTTAAAAAGGAACCTGCTGTGACGATAAGAAACTGATCACCATCAACGCTGGACATTATGCATACAAACTGGTACACGCCAATGAGCTCGTCCGCTTGCATGACGTTAAAACCGTCAGACGTTAATATCCAATCACAATGTAAGATTATGACATCATCACTCATTAGGACGCCGACTTATGAGGGTGCTCTACCAATTTGTAAAATCTACTCAGATCACGGACGGACCGGAAAATCTGTAACGTAACTGACAAAGGTCTCTCGGCCATGTGCTTGAAAACGCTTATCACATTGTCACATTGAAATCTGCAAGACGAAAGGACAATACAATTTAAATGTCTCTCCATGACACAATTTGTGCTGGAGAGATTACTTACTTTGAACATCGAAGTGATCCAGGTCATCCGCCGTTGACTTCTTTCTCATCGATGATCAAGCATTAATAAATACCTTGGAGAGTTGATGGTTTCTGATTGGTCGAGACTCGATCACGTGGCCGGTCATTAACGGTGATAATGGACCGGCTTCAAAGATCAAGCGAATAAATGGCCCCTGAACCAGCATTGATTCAGCCCCGTTCAGCCCCATGCAAGCCAATGATTGGTCAAAATATAGTAACAGTCCTGCGGTAGCTTTTAACAATTGAGCACTGCACATGCGCTCAACCCTAATCGCGTGAGACTGACGCGCGCGTACGCAACACAGTTGCTAGGGATGTGTGCGTGCGCGCGCGTAAGGAAGTTTTGAAACGACATCGTACAGCAGTGCAGTATACACTGAGGATGTTTACGACGAAAGCGTAGATCTACGATTTATTTTCTTTGAACACTTCACCCACCGACATATTTACCTTTCCTAAACCAAGCATCTTTGTAATTCCGGACACAAGCAATGTGTAAACGAGATTTCAGCTTCCTCCATCAGGTAAAGATATGAAAACATTGTTGTAATTTGTTTCGCTACGGCAGCAGTTTTTCTGTTGAGTTTACGTCATTATAGCTGTTAAGCTAAAATATGGCCCATGAACACAAAAAAGGCTGGAAATATCGCCGAAAGAAAGTCACAAAATTGGAGCATTTTAACTGTTTATTTTGTTATAAAGGTATTTATTAATGGGAATAACAGTGTGAGGATCCGGTCTTCACTGCGTGATAATGACCGGGTGTGGGGTTGACCGCTGTTAATGGACCTCGACTTCGTCTCGGTCCATTAACAGCGGTCACCCCCACACTTGGTCATTATCACGCAGTGAAGACCGGCTCCTCACACTGTTATTCCCTTATTAAAATGTCAGATCTTCGTAATGTTTATTTTATTTTCGTTTCGTACATTTAACATTTTTTTTTCACTTTACACAATGATACATTTTAAACATTATTTTTTATTTGACAAATCACATCATAGAGAGCATGTTCTTAATTGTTTTAAAACGGAAAAAAGTCATTGGGTACATTACGTACGTTCACAAGTGTGCACAATAGGGCCAATTCAAGGTGAACAATGGACGGGAAACATTGTATCGGATTTTACGAAATTCAGATACAACGAACATTTTGACCGGTCCCGTGGATTTTGCTATAACGGGAGCCGACTGTACATGTAATGTAGCGGCCAAACTCAGATTTCTTCTTTTTGCCTAGTGAGGGCGCTGTACAAGAAAGACGGTAACCAAGCGCTCCATAGCAATATGGCTTTAGCGTTTTAGAGTTTGCAACTTGTGTTAAATTCTTCACCCAAAGCTGATGTGATATTTGGTCCAAGGTTCACACATGCCACATAGTTTGCACAAAATTAAGAATAGTGCACCTTTAGTTCCTTTTTGTTCAAATGTTTGTGTAATCTCATGAAATGCTGGGCAAGATTACCATATGCGAAGTTCACTAATTTTCCTCTGTATTGACTAACAAGCCCTCAGATAGCAATTTCATGTCATCAAAGTCAATTTGAGCAGTGAGAAAATACAAGCATTTTCTTAGAAAACACTTAGAATTTTTCAGTCCACTCTCATAGGGTTTGTACACAGAGTGTTGAGTGAACTTCGTATATGGAAATCTTTCCAAATGCTGTTACAGGTTGAGCATGGTTAACTTGTATACATGTACATACATGATATTTTGAAAAGCACAATTGTATACTTCTCAAGAATACATTTACAACACAAGTGATATTAATATAACTGCAAATTTAACATTACAATATGATTTTTTTTTGGATGAGATATTAAAGCAGTGGTTTAATAATTAACTTGTGAACTGTGGTTTGTACTTCTTTCAGGCAGTTTCATTAAGTTACACACAAATAATGCTTGCCCCAGTCTAGTACAATGCAATAAATTAAAGCTCAAGATTGGAAGGAAACCTTAATCCTTTTACTAAACAGAACAAGAACATGTGGGAAAGAATTCCACATACGGACGTCAATAGTTTTTCCTTGCAATGACCTACCAGCCACCAGAAAGCGATAACATGTCGTACAAAGTCAAATATAGCAGGGAAAACATTGAAGAATTTAGTGAGATAAAAGAAATGCTCAGTCTCAAAGTTGTATACAGGGTCTCAAGTGACGTCCGTATATGAAATTCTTTCCAAAATGTGGACCGCCGTATAATTAACAGTTAAAGGGAATATACAACATTTGCAAACATCGAAAAATAAAACTACCAAGTTTTTACGAAATACCTTACTAGAATGTTGGTAAATGACAGTCTCAAGCATCTTGTAAAATTATGGCACCTGGTGTGAAGTCATTTTCAAGAAAATGGTATTTTTGTATACATTTCCAACGGTGGTCGGCCGACCAGCGTTGGAAAAACCTAACTATTTTTCAACTACTGCTCAAAATTTACCATTTTTTCAGTCCAAATTTTGTTTGCTATTGGTCACATGTTCATGAACGGGTGCAGGCCAGCTAGACTGGTTCCCTTGCCTTACAATTTTCCATCTTCTATAAATTGATTCATTTTATCTTTTGTGGAGTCAGGGAACCAGACTACTTGAACATTTTTGTTTTTCTTGGTTTTTCCAACCTTTTCGAACACAAAACTTCAAAAATGTCAGTGTAACAATATTTGATCTATTATACTAACCCCTCAAATAGTTCATTTCTGAAAATTACAGCAAAAGCCAATGATGTACATTCCCTTTAACATTCAGTCTCTGAAGTTGGTTTCCAAAATCAAACTTGATGAGATACATCCAATCCTTGTACAGATACATGTTAAGTTGCTCCTATTCTTAATGACATATTTAGCTCAGTAGAACAAAAACAAATTGCCTAGTAGAAAAATGTATTTGAACTGTCCTAGGTGCATATACATTTCATTTAAAATTGCACTTAACTATTCATTGCAAAGTATAGCTTTTTAAAGATGACTAAAAAGTCTGCAATTTGTTGACACAAATTTTAATGTCTAAAATATAATTTTAATAACATGTACATGTACATGCACTTTTACTCTTTGAACTAGAGCAATCACATTTATGGCAAGACCAATTAACTAGTTTTGCAAAATAAAATTTGTGCAAGGTGTCTTGATAAAAGTTGCAACCTTAACTTTTTATCTCCAAACCCTGGGCTTTATGGTAAAACATTGACCTTTATGAAATTGGAGGATTTTGTCCTCAATGAATGAAACATGTACTATGAGCACATCGCTGTGGCATTGGTAAAAATTCGAAGGTCACAACAAGGCACACCTACAACTGCCATCTCTATCTGCACTTGGTAAAACTATTCATGATTTCTCCTTCAGCATGGGTTTTGATTCCTTCAGTTTCAGAGGAAAGTTGCAGTCCTTTTTGGCTAGAATCACTTCCTTTAGTGTCACCTCTCTCAACCTTGACAGACTTTTCACCTCAATAAGTCATCGAACACTCAGAATCCTCAATGACAACCACCTGGACAGGGGTTGCAGCAAGTTCCAAACTAATTGAATCCTCTGCATGGATGCTCATCAGTGGTTGCGAGTGAACTTTCTCTCATACATGTACAGGGTCCCCTGGTTAAAAAAAAAGGACACCCACATTTGACAGCAATTTTCACCTATTTTTAAAAATAATTTTTAACTGTCGTTTAGTAAGGGAATAAATGTGTGCTCGGGAGGTTTTTATCACTCTGTTTAAGACTGCTTAGAGTCTGGGTGCTGATAATTACCCGAGCCGGAGGCGAGGGTAATTATCAGCACCCAGACTCTAAGCAGTCTTAAACAGAGTGATAAATGCCGACCGAGCACAAATTTATTCCCATTCATAAATACCTTTTCGGTAAAAAAAATCAAATAATTCGTTCCGAAAATCCCAAATTTGTTCAACAAGTTCACTTGATGCTTTTTGAAACATCCCTCCAGCAAAATAATGGAGTGTTCAGCTGGCGAGTAAGATGTAAACAACCCTTTTATAGAGATTGACGCGCAGAGTTCTGCGCGATGTCGCGCAGAACGCACCTGGGGCATTGCGTTTTTAATTTAGAACTATAAAATTCTGACTCGCTGGTAGTGTTGCGCATGCCTACGTGAGGATTTTTAGGAGTCCACATTTTATTGTGACACTGGAAAAGTGTTTAAGACCAGCTAGCCATGTCTTTATCATCCGTTTAAGACCGGCCACGTGACGGGCTCTCAACCAATAGGAATAGCTATACTGTCTGAGGTATTTATGGCTTTATTTATGTATTTGTGGATTTTTGGGGGTCTTAATATAAAAAATCTCTATAACTTTTACACTGCATTTGCCATTTTACAAGGTATTCAGGGAGCCACAGCTACTAGTAGCCAGGTGCATGCTGTCTACATACTTGTATGTAAGATCTGATAGTTCAGCCAGAATTTCAGTCCATACTTGGCATGGGCTGTGAAACACAGCACTTATCAGACAAGACTAAATTTGCTTTCTTTTAGTTGAGTTTCTGTTGCTTTTCCATCTGGATCATTGATGTAGCCGTCTTGACCACTGTCCATAATATCCTGCACTCTGTTGGGACAAATGACAAAATATATGAAACGGTTTAGCATGAAAAGTTGCCAAAATCTCATCACAAACTATTTAAGTCCAGGCCTACAGAGATGTTAATCAAGTTGTAATCAGGGGACTGACATTGGCAGTGTAGAGTAAAATACAGTGCAATTATCTACCATAAAGCTATCCGGAAATAGTTTTATACATGGAAATCACCATGACAGTGACCATGGTGACCCTATGCACAAACATAGGCATCACCAGGATTATTTCTAATGGGGGCAAAACATATTTTTCCCAAAACATTTGGCCCCCCCCCCCACCCCATTAAATTTACAGAAATATGACCGTGCCTCTTTTTCTTAAATTTCTAATTTCTTGTTTTTTCTTCCTTTTTTTTTTTTTGGCTCTTCCCCCTTGCCTCCCCCCCCCCCCTCGCGATGCCCATGTGCACAAACCCTATGAAAATGGTCTGAAAAAAATATAAAAGTGTTTTCTCGGTAAATACTTCAATATGTTCCCCAGCTGATGGCTGTTAACACTGCAGGGAACATGATGGGAAGATTCCCATATCTGGCCATCCCTGTGCACAAACCGTATGAGACTGGTCTGCACGTTTCTATTCCAAGTGTCATGAGTGTTTCCTAAATACTTCAATATTTTCCTAAGCTAAATTTTACTTGTTAGGACATATTCTGATGCATGATAGGCCACTGAAGGGAAAAAATAGCGATGGCCAGATATGGGAATCTTTCCACCTCGGACCATGCACCATGGACCATTTAGTGGTCCGTGGTCTGTCCACAGCACCGGCGCGCCAGTATTGTTGATGTACCCTAACGTGGCGCGGCCTCCAATGTGGCGCACTTTGATTTTTTGCCTGTAGTACCTAGCTAGAGCAAAAATTTGTACTGAAATTTCACAGAAAGTGAAATTTTATCAAGTTCTAAACACTCCCGTTCATAAATCGCGATTTTATTTACCCGTTACAAAATTAGAAGAAACTTTATTTTGGCGTGATTTTCCAATTTTTTTTTCAGGTGCAAAGTGAACCCTTCGAAAATGCCCCGAAAAATATGAAAAAAAATTCTGACAAACATCTGGCTGGGTATGTAACTAGAGATAATAATTATTTATCAGAATTTATCAAGTTTACAGAAATTCTTAAATGTTAATTTGGAATTTTACCAGATTTATTAAGGCCTAAGTTGTTCTAAGACAAGGTAAGTTTGCGGTAGCACCATGTGAATAAATCTCTTTTCTGAGTATGTGTGGTTCTGAAAAGAACCGGAGGGACTCCGAACCACACAAACTCGGATCCAACTCACTACACAAATTTGCTAAAACACTTGTCTAAAGGTAGCAATAAAAGATGAAAAACTCTCCAATTGAATATCCTTTTAGAAATCTCTCGGAACATCATTAACCTTGGTAATAATTTACAAAATGCCAAAGTCTCTTTCTTATAAATATGTCTAGACTCACTAAAATTTGTAAAAGTCCAGACTTCATAGAAAAATCAATTTATGCAATTCTCTTCACAATTTACAAAAGTCACAGTGAAAAGGTAGTGACTATGATAATCTAGACATGATAAATAATTACTCAAAGTTACCTAAAACAGAGAGCCAACATTCGTGCAAAAAGGAGGGAACTTGGAATCAGAATCCTCCAATCGAACAACAAAATGATGCAAAATGGCTGATGAAAATGGCAGGCATGCATTCAGCACGGTGGCAGAATCAGGAATGCCAAGCTCTGCTAAAAAATTTGGGGCAGCTAGCACCGGCCCAGACCATGCTCTGATCGCATGACTAGCCAGGCTCTCATTGGTCAAACTTCAAATTGTCACACAAGACTCTAATACTGATTGGTCATTTAGTAACAAGGCAGATGAACACTCAGTAGACAAGTAGAGTTTGTGGTTTTCACAGCTTCTGCAAGGTGTGATCAACAACCAGGGATTAAGTGTCCCTACATCCTTCTTAGCTCCTAGAAGAGTACACAACTGGTGCAAGGCAGAGGACACAAAAGACATCCTCTATTCTTCCAGGAAGTGGGAAAGATCAAAGACTGGCTTTAACAAAAGTAGGGAAAGATCAAAGCTCTACTGGAACACAAATCACCAGTAGAAAAGATGAAACATCATAAAAGATTAGAAAAGGGAAGTTAATGCAAATAGTAAACCCAGTCATAATATAAAATATTACTATAACCCAAGACCTCTTTTTTGGGTCGGGGTTACATCCAAATACTGCAACAAACAACTTCCCAACCCCTTCCAAACTTTCTTTCAATTCAATTAGATTGTACATAACCACAACACTAGATCCTCAACAAACCTACATATCCTCACCCATAGAACACAACTGTTTCAGCGTAGCATTCAATATTCTGGAGCCATTAATTGGAATATGCTACCTGACATTAGTAGGCGTTCTCCCTCTCTTGGCTCATTCCAACGTAAACTTAAAATGTATTTGTTGAATTAATTAGAAATATCGACGTTCTTATATATTTGCTGTTATTACGTACACTTTATTATTACATTACTGTTTTACATCGTAACCATATAATTATCTGTTTCTTTGTGTGTTTATTTTTGTTCCTTTGTCCTGTCTGACTGTTTTGTCCAATCTTTGTCCTATGGCTTCCCCAACACAAGCACATGCTTAACAGGGCCTAGCTGCCTCCATTTTCACCATTATTTTTCTGTTATTGCATACTTACCTAATGTTTTAATATTTTGTTTATTCTGCTTGTTGTGAATCGGTGAAATGGAAATAAATGTCTTTGAATTGAATTGAATTTTAGTTGTTCGTTTATTTCTGAGTTGTTCGTTTATTTCTGAGTTATATTGTTTATTCCTGAATTGTTTGTTCATTTCTGAATTGTTCGTTTATTTCTGAGTTGGTCGTTTATTTCTGAGTTATATTCGTTTATTTCTGAGTTGTTTCGTTTATTTCTGAGTTGTTTCGTTTATTTCTGAGTTGTTTCGTTTAATGTTGTGGTTTTGTTTTATATTTGTTTTTGTCTTTTTTGCCCTAATGGCCGCCCAAACAGTACTGAAATCACTTCACAATCTACAGGCTAATAGTTTAGGTTTTCAGTAAATCGTGGGCTAAAAGTATAATCATTCTTTTCTTATAATATCTTGGGGAAAAAAGAGACAATCAAACATGAATCACATTTGCTTCAGGAATTAATTTGTGTCTCTGAAATAAGTTTGTAAATATTTTTTTTGGGGGGGGGTGTTTTCTTTGGGAAGTGAACAAACATTAGTAGCAATATATCAATAAAATAGTTTCACCTAGAGTAAATATATAAAAAAAAATTAAATTGGCCTGCCAACTTAAAGGGAAGGTACAACATTTGCAAACATCAAAAAACAAAATGATCAAATTACCATGATTTTTTTTAATGGACTGTTAGGCAATGACAGTCTAAAGCATCCCGTACAATCATGGCTCCTGGTGTGCTCACATTTTTAAGTAAAGTGTTATTCAGCATTGGAGAAAACTTGCCTTTTTTTCAAAAACTGCTCGTAATTTTTCATATATAGTTATTCTGCTTTTTCTTTGCAATTGATTACACACCTGTGAAGGGGTATACAAACCAGCTAGACTGATTCTCTGACCTTATAATTCCACAACGTCTATAAATTGCTTCGTTTCATCCTAAGTGGGGTCAGAGAACCAGACTACAAGAACGTGATTGGTTTTCTTGGTTTTCCAGCATCTATGAACAACAACTAAGTCAGTGTAACAATATTTGCTTTAACATACTATTCCCCTGAATCCATCTATTTCTGAAAATTACAGCAAAAGCAGATGTTGTACATTCCCTTTAAAGGCCATGAGTATTTTAAAATGTACTTCTTCAAAAACAAGGGGAACACACGACAATAATAATGTTAAATTTCCCACTGGAATCTATTGGAAAATTGGTTTTGAGTTTCATGAATTTGACATATTTGAATGATATTTAATCATTCTGCTATGAAAGTAAGACAATTAATGTAATTTATTAAGTACATTTCTGAAACTTATTTTCTGGTCTCTTTAATTGATGAGGTACCTGTATGATGAATTAACGGTCAGTATTCTTTCTTCATTTAAGAATTAGAGCACAAGAATATTTCATTCAACTCTAGAATGTATAAGGAAATGTTAAGAGCTTTTAAAAGTTTTGAAGGTGGTTTATCATAAAGAAAAACAATTACCGGGGAGAAAAAGGTAAAAGTCCTATTAAATAGATTTCATTTTGCATTTGCTACCAGTTCTTTAGTGTAATTTTACGTTTATGCATGCATTATTAGCACAAGAGGAATCAAATCAACCATGGGAGAAAAATTGCGGTATCTTCTCAAATATGTTTCCAGTAATTTGAAGAAGAAAAAAAAACAGACAATGATTGACAGCTAACTAAAAATTTTTTTCGTAGATAAATAGGCCACAGGTGGGAATTCTTTGAATAGGCCCATTGCTTTAGGAATGCCAGCAGTGGCAAGGCACGGTCATTTTGATTGGGAGGGTAAACATTTTTGCAAAGGGCACTTGCACATCCATGGTAAAATGTAAGCATTTTTTTTTTCGTGGACACTTGGCCTCCATAAAATCAAAAGGGGGGGGGGGGCTGGTACCAACTGTCGGTGGGGGCGCTGTTGAAAACCGACCATTATTCACACTAAATATTGGGGGGGGGGGGAGCGCCAGGGAAAAGGGGCATTTCAATGGAAAAGGGCAAAAGGGCAGTCTTTAGAAAATATTGGGGGGGGGGGCTAAATACCCCCTTACTTACCCCCCCCCCCCCCCCCCCCCCCCCCCCCCCCCCCACCGGTCAGTAGGCTGGCTGGTGAGGGTTTCTTTGAGACACAAATTCACAACCAACAAAATTAAAGGATTCATTTGAAAAGAGTGCATAGCCTAATTGGATTGGGTTTTTACCCCTCAGCCCAGACGTTGCCTGTACTGTCATCGCCTGCAGCGTCTGTCCGTACATGCATAATATGTGGTATTTTGGTTAAATTTTCAAAAAAAATTCTGATTTGAAAAGTTGAAGTCCAATACACCATTTTAATGGTAACATGGCCGAGGGTCGGAAGCGAGGCTGTACATCACGCCTAGCGCCACTGGGCCTGACTGAGCTGGGATCCAGACTCTGTCGTCACACGTACCGTATAACGTATCGTACACGTTGTGCAATGATGGCTTTGGTGTCGTCTTTGCCCGTTTGGACTAGAATCTTGCAACATTTACCCTTTATGACTCATCTTAATGTCAATAAAATCATGCAATCGTTCTTAATAACCCCCAAAACATCACTGCAGAAAGGTTACAAATTCTTTGTGGGAGGTTACGTGCACGAATTTGAAGGCAAGTTTCCCTGTAACTGTAAGTTTCCGTGTCGGGATTGCATTGTGTACCGTTCATCATTTTCATCATGGGGCGCATCAGCACGGCGATCGTGTATCTACGGGCCCGGTTCCTATCCATGCCAGTTTTCTTAACATACTATTCATAGTAACAAGTAACAACCTAAACTTACGAATACTTCTAGTTTTTGGGGGATAAAGAAATGGAAAGAATGTCGCGTCCTGTCTCCAATTGCTTTGATTATTTGTGAAATTGTGATCTCAGTGAAGGTCAGGGATTGTGAACAAAAATATTATTATTATTCTAGGACAGTAGGTGAGTCAGTAGGAGTTAAATATTTTTCCAATTTTATTTATGGCAATTACTTTGAAAATGCACTCAACTGTCCTTAGACTTAGTACACAACCATAAGTCAACCAACAAAGTTGAGTCGGGATGCTGCAGTCTTTCCAGAAAATAGACATGATGGATTTGCATGTAAAACTGAACCAAATTTAATTGCTCCTGCTCCCTGGGGTGCATCCAGGAATGTTTTTTTGTTTTGTTTTGTTTTGTTTTGTGGGGGGGCGGGGGCGTCAGATTTGTTTATGACATGTAGAAATGTAGGAAATTATTATTACTATAATTGTTGTATAAATTCTTTGTTGTGTGTCGGGGGGGGGGTCCCCGACCTACCTGGGTAGTAAATGTCTGTCGTATATTGTGACTCAATTCATGGCAATACATTTTGTGTGTGTTAATTCTTTCAGTGAAAAAAGTTACATCTGGATTCCGTGTCAGATTGAAAGTGTTCCGTTCACAGAAGAAGAATGAGCCGCCACATAAAACTCAAATTCTTCTCTTTTCTGGATCATCAGTTCAGCTCTTGGCACACAAGTGTTCCTGTGTTGTAGGCAAAGGATTCTGCCAGCATGTGGTCGCACTGCTTTATCAAGTAGTGCACTACAAGATGTTAAAGTTGTCAACAGTGCCTCCGATCACTTCAAAAACATCTGCGCCTTAACACTGGCACATACCTCCATGCACCCATGGCATTAAGCGTTGTGCCATCTCACAGATTAGAGTACTGAAAGTAACAAGGACAGAGGAGAAACAGCAAAAGCATTCAAGAAGTGCACCCCCTAGAAGAAGACAGAAGTGGGTAGTGGAGGGAGTAAATTCAACATTGTACAATCCTGTGACTGTTCCACTTAAAAATTTGAACTTCATAGTTGCTATGAGCCCTACTTTGGATATTGAACTGCACAAACCACTGTTTCTTTAGCTGACTGGTAACCTGCAATCACCAGTTTATGTTGGCAGAAAATTTGGGACAGTTCCAAGGGGGTCAGTTCTATCCTACCAGGCAAAGCCACATCAAAGAAACAGTGATGGAACCATCATCAAGATTGACAGTGCTCCAGACTTACCACGTATAGAGTATCCTTGTCTTCCTCAGTACTTTCACGGTCCACTGAATCAAAGCGACACTGCATTTTTGGATGGCCTCAATGTCACTTTGGAGC